TTCCATCCTTGTCAGCAGGTTAGGGATAAATTCAACAATCATTCCTGTATAATTATAGTTTAAAGAGAAGATTATAATTAATTCGAATGTTTTTTTACTTAATACCAAATACACAAACATGTACCTGTCATTATTTTAAAGGCACATTATGCATCAAAAATAAATAACTTTTGACCTCTCTTTTAAAGGGTAATCATCAGTTTTATAATGTAGAAATAATGGTTTTGTGTATGTTAGATGCTTAAACTAAAAAAGTAGCGCTGAATGTGAAATTATTTGTAATATAAGTAGCAAAATGTCAACAAAGAAGCATTTTGATTTCCATACAAAAACAATAAATTACTATATCTGACTAATTGCCAAAAAGCAACAGACACAAAAGATGAAATAATATATAGAAACCAATCCCGTTTACGATACTGCCGCTTTAAATATATTTAACTTGAAATATAGACGGCAATTTATTTGATCTATTTGCACTAATTGTGTAAGGATATACTAATTTTTGGGCGCAGACTTTTAGTAGTGCTATACCTATCCATAAATTGACAAACATTATGATATACTTAAATTGATCATAGTTTTATGAAAGAAAATGTAAACTTATCTGCTTTGCTTAATATAATTAAACTGATATTTTGTATAGATAATTGTCAATTCAATATGGATAGTCTGTGATTATGTACCGCAATTACAAATGTACTAAAACACAGAAGTTTCAAAATACATTTATTTCAGTAGATGTATACTCCATGACATTCGGAAAACTTCGGCTTTTATCCACTGATAAAAAGATATAACTATGATCTTTATTATGTATAATATGTTAATGTAAGAAAGTAACATGAATACTGTCAAATAGTATGCGATAAAATGGTGAAAAAACTAACCATCGATTGTGTATTCGGGACTAAAAAAACGTGTGATAACATTAACCTTCTGATTGTGAAGTGTCTGAAAGTGTTGTAAATTTTACATACACCACGTCGAAATACATGGACTTGTGATGAAGTCATTTCTTTCTTGTTATCATAAAAGATATGGATTAAAAATAAATAAAATAATGGTGTGAGATATATAAATAGTTAAGTTAATAAACAATAGCAGCAATTTTTACTATCAGGGAAGATTTTAAAGCCTTCTCTGGGAAGCTTAATTAACTTTGCTAAGTTATTACGCATTTTGCTAAGAGGTTATACGCATTTTACTGAGAGGGTTTACGCCTTTTGCTGAGAGGTTATAGCCTTTTGCTGTGAGGTTGAGAGGTTGTACACATATTGCTGAGAGGTTGTACACATTCTACAGAAAGTTCATACACATTATGCTGAGTGGTTTTGCCAGGTAATTAAGAATTTCGCTGTTGATATAAATAAAAACATGACTAAGCTATCAGTATCGTTCAACGTTGAGGAAATTGTAGAAGGATTGGAGGAGTTACTAAGTGAACTGTCTGACAAATATTTAACTATAGTGATCGTCGGACTTGGGTGTGTCTTTGCTGGAATAATTATAGCGTCGTGCATCGGATCTCTGTGCGGGCTGCTTATATACGAATTGTGCCGCCGGAAGTGTCGGTCTTTGAGACGAAGGGACAGCTCCTTTAACAGAAGTAGGAGAAAAAGATCAATGACAAAATTTCGATGTGTTTAAGATGATCAAAATACTAGTCCAAGAAAGCTTGCAATAGACAATAAACTCAAGTGACGTCCATCGGATGTGTATACATCTATGACGTCGTGGTATCTCTGACGTCAAGATGTAAATCAGAGTGTTTCGAGTGAGTCAATGAAAAAAGTGAAACAAATTGTATCTAACACTAGTAACATTGCGTGCCAAAATTTATTGATAATCTCTAGATGAGGACATATAGGAATATACAAATCCTAGTCATCGTGGTCTTACGGATGTGTTCTATTATTCCAAAATATGAATTTAATGTTGTAAGGGCTTGATAAATTTACAATTCCAATAATACATGTTAGCTGAAATAGCATAGAAAAAGGGGAGCAAGTTATTTGAAAGGACTATACTTTACTAACAATATATTTTACATTATTATAGACGTTTTTCTTATCCCCCCTTACACACCCCCTCACCAACTTCCAATATGTATGTATGTAGTTAATGCTTAATGAGGGTCCATCCGCCCTTTCGGGCAAAAATGCAGCTTTCGCTGTCGAGTACGGACTCCGGACATGTCACCAGTCATGCCCTTAAAGAGTTAATTTTGAAGCACAAAGTGGTGATAATTTACCTCCATGAAATTTCCACGGAGTATTAGCCAAAGATATCAATTTTGAGCCAAAAGTAGGTCACTGTACGGCGGTCAATGAGAACCTAAATGTACAGTAACCTGTGACAATAGGAAAGGTTAGCCCTGAAAAGGGCTGTTGATGCCGTCGAATCGTGCTAGGGGCTCACGCACCCTAGCACACCGTCCTCGTCGATCCAAGCGCCTACTTTGTAGGGCCACTCCCCTCGGCATTAGTCAGGACATCGGCAGCTGGTCCGCATTACAAGTTCTGAACTTTTGCGTCATCCCAGGTCTTCAAATCTTCTGCCGATGCCCTGTGCCTTCTCAGCGACGTGCATGCTCCGAGGGGAAGTGAGAAGCAATCTCCAATAACCACGCTCTTTTTCTTTTATTCTAGGACAGATACTTTAAGCACAGCTTGCCATTTCCACAATTGATGCCATTTCATAAATGACATTTAAATTATTTTTGTTCTTAATTTTGTCATTTCCGTTTATTCATTATATTATTCATATATATTTCATATACTTCGGTCTGTGATAAAGCTATGTACAAATATATTAATTTATGATATGTCATCTCTATGTAAATGGATAATTTATTTCTTGTATGTATAGACAGTGATAAATGTCGAATACTCACTCGTACATGGTAAAACGAACGTTTGTTTTAGTACATAAGTTATATATTTACCTATATAGCCAGTTATCATGACATTGTTTGTATGGTCATAAAACAGCGACTCATTGTAATAATGTATGAAAGTACAGCAATAAAATAAATATGACAAAGTATTTCTTTAAGTTAAAATCATTTTTAGTGAACTAATCGTGCAATATACATACATATTTATTATGGATAATTATATATGATATATTTCAATAATTGAACCATTTATTGACGTAATAATTCTATATTTGTAGCGGGCGGCGCTCGTTGTGACATGGCTCTATTGAATAAACCTTTAGTCCTATTGAATAAATCTCCAATATAATTATTCATGATATATAATGTATATTGCACGATTAGTTCTCTTTTAGGACCAAAATAGGGCGACGTCATTGCCTGTAATTGAATACCTAACTGCAAAGAATTGAATGCAAGTAATAACACCTAGGTAGATAAGATATCACAAGTTATGTAATGACCCGACCATAAATTTACAATGATTTATGACTTGAATGATATCTGTATAAACAAAGAAATCATGACATATCCGACAGATCTTTTTTTGAAAGAAATCTAAGAACACTTGTACAAAAATAAATTGTCTAGCCTATTTGTTACTCTAACTGAAAGTGATTATTTGCCCTTAAAACACTAATATTATAAATAATGTATCTACAATATATAGAGAAGGTGCCTGGAATGTTTACGAAAAAAAGATTTTACGTGTAATAACGCGTTTTAGCAGTTTGAGCACATTACATATATCTTAAAAAAATTCCGAATGTCCGTACCGTATAGCTGGAGTATGTGTACACGTCCGATGGCCCATTATTTCAATCGTTTCAATGACGTCACAAACACCTGTTGCGATAATGTCTGAAGTTTTTTTTTCTCAAAATGAATTGTTAAAAGATATATTATAATGCCATACAAAAAAGAATATATTGACATTGTCAACAAATGTACAGTTTATATTTGCTCTTGCTTCTTATACCGCGCTCAAGGAGAACGTTATATAAATATTATTCTGTGTTATTTTATATAAAAAGGCCGTGTCGGTAAAAGTAGAATTCAAGATATATCAGTATTTGAAAAGGAAATGTTGGTCGAACAAAAGCATGAGCCGTATACATGTTCATTCTTTGAATATTTCCCGAAATTCAGAAAAAGTATCGTCTATATGAGAGTAAAACCTGAGCAAAAGAGAATATAAATGGGCAATAATGAATTGATTTTTTTATAGTTATGAAAATTTATTCTAAATTTAATTTATTGTAGTACATTAGAGGGCCGATGATTCTTTATTATTCCAGTAATTTCCTCAACATTGTTACTCATTGTAACTATATTCAAATTTAGATTGATAATCTATTTTAAAAATAGTTGAGCCATCAGTCAATTTATTTGTAAAAGTCTGAAATAAAGTTTCTGTTCTGTTTAAATCCTTCGAATTCCACAGCAGTGCTATTGCTAAAGTTAGAAAAGAAAGTAATATTTTAGACGTATAGAAGGAGTGTTGAAAACATCATATCTATTGTAGAGAGACTCCGTGTCAAACATGTCAACACCTTGCAAAAATACTTTTATATACCCTTCATGCATGCAATATGGACACCGCCCATGACACAGGTGCTTTAAAATAGCAAACAAGAAGGAAAAAAGTAAACAAAATGTGCATAACAATCATGGTCTTCTTTTGGACCTTTTCATCTGTAATTGTATTTTACGTCAGTTTATATAATGCAGCATAAAGGATCAATGAAATGATACAAAAGTTGTAGCATAATAATTACATTTTATATGTAAAAAAAAAATCTTCAAAAGGCGTGCTTTACATTGGTATTTTCTTTTCATTTATTATCATTCCTACAATAAAGTCATTCCTTATAAATAAATAATCCACTTCTTATCGATTTGATGAATCAATGTATACAAAAACATGTTTATGAATTGACAAGACGTGTTATTTTTGGATTAAAGCTACTAATACAAATCCGTAGTTGATAGTTTACGGTACAATGCTTTAACAGTAGACAAATAAAAAATTAAGACACGATTTTCTTATATAGGTAGGTATGAAGTAAGGTCATTGGAATATAGCTTACTTTTGAGTTATGATAAATGTTAATAAAATGGCTGATTGAATTACACCGTACATATATTCGGATATCAATAGACGGTTCATAAACTAAGGTAAAATTTAAGATGATAACACTATTTCTATTTCTTTTTTAAGTCTATAATCTACAGTCCTGTTTATTCAAAACGTCATTTTGAATTCTTTACTAAGAGCATAGTAATTGCCATAAATGGTTTATAAGGGGGCATATATTTGTTCTTTTCGCTGACATCACTGGAGAACTTTTGTTATTGTCATGTATGCAATTTCCTTTAGCATTTATTTATTCAATTTCACATACCATTTAACACTATATTTAGATATTTATGAAGTAATGTTCGATAAATTTTCATCTATTTTCAGACACGAACAGGCAGCTGAATTAATTATAACAAATCGATCACATACTTTGATGATGTGTGCCGGAGAGACGGCGTAAAACATTGTTTTCAAAAGATTTCTGGACAGATAATAAAATAAAACGGAAATTATCCGAAACATTTCTTTTGGACACAGTGACATGTGTTTTTAATGATTTAAGAAAGGGTAATTGATTTGGTTTTTACTAAGCAATGATAAGAAGATGGTTTTAACAAAAAATAATCATTAACGAAATGGCTGTCAGGACACTTAGCGGAATTTTCAATAAAAAGTGTGACTTGAAACTTGCATAGAAAGTTTTTTTTCCGGGAACATTTTTTTCCAACTATTTAGTAAAGATGACAAAACTTTCTGTGTCTGTAAATGTAGAAGAGATTGTAGTGGGTTTGGAGGAGTTACTAGGTGAACTTTCGGACAGGTATATGTCATATGCCATTTTCGGCTCAGTGTGTATATTTCTAGGAATACTGTTCGCCTCGTGCATTGGATCTATGTGCGGGCTGCTGCTTCACGGATTTTGCAAAAGACGTTTCAGTCAACGGAAAAGGAAACGGAAACGTCCTTCTATACGTCGGAACAATACGTATGATGAAATAAGTGTTAAGAGTAATAAAAATTTGTTAAACAAACAGAATATAGATGAACGGTGATGTAATGTGTTCAAGTGAAATAGTGACCAAGTATATAATTTTTATGGCATATTTTGAGATATGCATAGTTCTTTTATGCCAAAAACTTTTTGTTTTAAATTGTTATTTACAACTCATTATTATGCGTGAAATTATGAGATTAAAACCTAAGGTACAACGAACAATGTAACATGCCAAATGTTTGCGGCGTTCACAAAGTGCATATTTTGTTAATTACTATCTATTTATAGTTTTGTTTTGACCGTCGGGTTAAAATTTATGATGTTTCGATACGAAACAACTCAATTTTACCGATTAATTGTCTTTCGTTTAATGTTTTCTTATAATGATACCAAAATCGTTTATTTATGTGAACCTAGTCAGGAACAAATGTTTTAATGTATATGTTAAAAGTATAAATAAATGATACTGCACCGAAACTTTTTAATAATGAAGCGAAATGTAGTTTTATGACCGGAATGTGCTCAATGGATTCAATCCCTTATACGGATTTGTCATATTGTTGCGTAACATTCATGCATGCGTTATGTCGTTCTTTCAATTAGGCCTATACTATATTGAATATATCGCTTATCATTATTTATTATCATGGTATTTTCTATCATAAAGACAAATATGTAAATCTAAAATTTATGACAGAATAAAAAAAATTGATGTGCAATAAAACAGATAACATGATTTGTGTGTACATGTATTTGATTTCGGAACAATTCCGTTTGATTCCGTTTTTTATATAATAATGTATGTTAAGTTCTACGTACAATCGAGCAGAAAGGAATGTCATCAGACCATGCCGAAAATAATTGGTTGACAAATAAATGCAAATCAACTTTGTTTGATTATTGAAAATCAATATTATGTTATACGTCATAACACTGTCATATATTGTACACCCTTATATATCAGATCGAAATGTTTTAAATTAGATTTCAAATTATATTGGTTGCATTTATTTATAACAGCAAATAACTATATTTAAAATTATTCTCACAAGGTTGCACACTCATTTGTCAAATTATGTTATGGGAACGTAGATGATTTTGCGAAATTCTAAACTAAAGTCGATACTTACTTTTATTTGAAAATAAAATAGGTGTCCTTATCACAAAATAAAATCGTGAAATTGAATATCACAATGTCTAAATAGGACTCTTTTTTGTAAAAGGAGTATCAACGACTACGCAGATAAAAAAGAGAGAACACAAAATAAAAAAAAGGTTGAAGTTAAAGGCCCATTTAGCCTTAAAATGTAGTAACTTTTTTTTTTGGTGTCCTGTTACAGTTTTCAAAAAGATGCTCATTGATGCTCATGGGCAATCTTGCCTTTTAACAATTAGCACATTTATAGAAATACCGTTACACTGTACTTAGTATTTTAAAAGTCAAAATAAAACCTTTTTGCATTTTGTCTATTTTACGACAAATTAATTTGCATACACAATAAGAGCTTTTTTTATTCTTTATTTGATACACATCTCCTTTGTTCTAAATCTGAAAATATAACTTGATAAATCACATATTTGCCCTTAAATCAGTATGAAAAAAAAACTTTCCCGAGGCTTAATGTTCCTTTAAAATGTATAAAAGAAACTGTAGGTGTGGAAATAGAAATGCATCACTGACTACTTAGTACTTGCTTCAATTTATACAATAATAAACGATTAGTTATATAGTTTCGTCCTGAAAACTGGAGACAAGAATTATTTCTGTGACCTAAGTGTAGCATTCATGTTTAAGCATTTATAATACAACATGTCAATACATATAAAACGATCGTTTGCTACGGGAACTTTTTTGATTGATTCAGTAATTTCAGACATGCGCCTTTTGTGTATAATCAAATAATTAAAACATGGGTCTTTTAACTAAAACTATTATGTGGCACACGTCTATTTATTTTAATATAATAGAAAAATACTACGCCGCGCAATAGAACAGCGTATCACAACTTTTAAAGCATTTTGTATCGATTGGGTTTATTAAAATACTTTGTCTCTGTAGTATTTTACGCGGACTGGCAATTACTTACAAAAAGATCGATTAATTGTAAAATAAACATGTAACTAAGATTAGACGAAATGTATTTGTACTAAGCAGTTTAAAGCTGCCTAATCGGATAACATAGGTATTTTCTTTTCCTTTCTTTTTTCAAATATTTATTTTTTATCAACTATCTTTGTATCACAATGGATCAAACGGTAGCAGAACAATGCATACTTTCAGGACAAAGCTAAGTTAAAAGTAGATAATAAATACAAGGGCTTTATAGCGAAAGCGTAAAGTAAGGTTTATTCAGATTAAAGCTAAATCTCTTTACTTCTGTATCATCGGCATACATGTACTTAATACATTTATCGGATAAAACAACTAAGTAACTTGAGCTATATTTATGGTATGAGGTATGAACATTAATGGCGTGAAACTTCACCATCCCTAGGGCCTTAAAGTGAGGGCTGTTTTTTCCTGTTTTTTCTTCTTCTTGAAACACGTTGCGATACCGCCCTTTTTAACTTCGGCGCGTAAAAGAGCATTAAACCCGACGTTATCTTGAATAATCAGCAAATCAGCGCGCATGATTTTATTCAAATAATTTTCAAATTAAAGTCGACGTTTTGTTTTGTATTGATAATGAATTGATTGTAAGATTACCACTCAAATCACAACTACTTAACAAATTTAAACAAGCCACTTAAATTGGAATATTGTTATATCATTTAGGGAAACGCTTAAAAGACAAATACACTCACATATATCACTATGTCATATGAGTTTGAAATAGTTCAACAGAATATAACTAATATACCTCACTAAGACTACTCACTACTATGATATATCATATCATTAAACAATACTATAAACACGTGAGCAAGCGAAAAGTACTGTAAGGTCATTTGTCCACACGCGCTACTTTTATTATTGGCATAATTGTCTCTGAAATCATATATAAACTAAAAGTATTTACAAAATGTATATCATATAGTTATTGAATGAATAATTTGATCATCATTATTGCTTTTTTACAAGGATATCTATGTTTTCGTAAAGGGTAATAGATTTATTAATGTAACACAACAATAGGCATGAGTGACTCTTAAGATGTTTAAGAACATTCAATGGTTATCTCCCTTTCACAAATCCATGCAACACTGTCATAAAACAAGTATAAACCACAAACAAATAATGCCAGGATCAACGTATTCTCACATTAAAGTGACAAAATAATAGAAATGGTAAGGATAAAATATAAAACTGCCTAAAATATAAGAGCTAAAAGCAGTTTGAGTTGATGGGTGACCATTCAAATACAAATAGAGGGAAGTCTTTATTTTGTATAAAAGATGGATTTTGATACAGAAAATGCGTTTTGGACTTGATTTAGTTGTAAATATCATCATCGTTTGCAAATGTCAACATATACGCGACAATTTATCGCCAATTGATTAAATGGGGCCAAATAATGATTTATAATTATAAAAGCATGGTGCAAATACTGGAATTCATTGGTTACATTTTTACGTGTGAAATAATTCATTTCACTGCAAAATTAACGATAAATTTATAGAAACATACCTTCACGTTGTCTCTGGTTTAAAATACTATTAAGCCTATTTTTCAAAATAATATATGAAAGCATGTGCAGAACATTCATAGTTGTACATATATTATAACTGATGTATACGATTTAATTTTATTAAAAAATGTAACTAAATAACTTATAGTTTAATATTGCAGAATATATTTTCCAAGAGACTGTCCAAAAGTGATAACAGAAATTATAACACATCTTACATAAGTAAAATGTATACTGTATACAAAGATCACAGCGGTTGTATTAGTATGCAGTTTAGTATGGTATTCTAAATTATGAAAAGTCAGCAGCTATTACACTGTAATATTAACGTGAAATGATTCAACATAATTTTATTCAGCTTTGAAAATTACACATCTGTTAGTAATACGTCATACTGTCCGTATTGAAATCACGTCACGTGTAAATAGAATTAGAATGTTTATAATACTCGTATACGTAACTTCATGCAAGGGACGGCACCGAATTCAACTTCAACTTCAAAATTTTATTGCATTAAACAAATACATGTTTATAGCAAGTACAAAATATATAAACACAAACAACACAAGTACATGGATTTTTTCAGAAGAGCCTTACAATCATATGAATAAAATACAGATCACATTTGATAGGATTAATTTCTTAAAGTGTTAGCATGATATATAAATTTGCTTAAACCATTAATTACAGTTAACGATGATTCAGACATTAAATTGATAAACTTTTGCTTAGTCGGCCATGTGTAGTAATACCGTTTAAGATACTTTTTTCTCAAATTCGGAAACAAAATAGTATAATGTCAGTCAAATAAAAGTCAATCAGGCTAACCTGGGAATATATCATATGAAATAATTAGTTATACAATGCCACTCAATTCTAGTGTGTTATAATTATGTCAGTCATAAACAATATGCAAACTACAAACTGTATTTTATGAATTTTATTATGCCTTTTTAGTATTCTTAACACGTGCGTTTCAGTCGTAATATATGTACATATTCAATTACATTGCATTTGGAAAGCATACAGAAAAAATATATATGTCAACCTGACATTCATGAATATATAATATACATCTTACAAAAGATCTCAAAACTGTCAAGTTGTATTATATATGAGCGCATTTCATAACGTTCTCGGATCGTTTATTTTGAAAACACACGTGTTTTAGAGCTATAAACTTCAATACACTTTACTGTGATCAAGCTTCTTAACATATTCTGAAATTGAAATTGCACGTTTTAAACAGTGCGAAGCTAAACTTTAATGTTCTTACTACAAGTAAAAGGTAAATCAGGTAAGGGAAATGTAAAAGTCAGGAGTAAAAAAAGAACTTTTTTTTCTTGTTTATTTTTACATACAATTTAATTTTCCCTTTTTGATTGATTGTTCGTCTACGGTAAGTAACTTCCCTTTCCCATAGTTTTTTCTCAATTTTTTACCCACCCACCCCGTCATTCAGGCCCATTTCCTTACACCCTTATCCTTTTGAAGGTTTTTTAATTTATTTTCAATTTTAATTACCTTGATCCTAGGACATCCCGTCTGTGTTGTTTTGTTTTGCCCGTGTGCCCTGCCCTGTTTGGTGTCCTGCTGGACTACTTGACGCCCTACCTTGTTGATCTTGTTTTCATATTTGTCACTTGTGTGCTTTTTAATTTGTCTTTCGGCAGCTGTCTTTGACACACAGTCTTCAGAATTGTGTTTACTAAGTGTTTTCGCCCATTGTTTCTTGGATGCGGCACATGCATGTTTTGCTTTGTGAAACCATATGCTGCTTTCAATGCAAACGTACAAAAGTATCAGATTGAAGGTTCATTGATCACTGCCGAATGAACACCCAATAATATGTGAGTGTATTTTAAATTATAAATTCAAAACCATGTTTATGAGTAAATGTTGATCACAGTTCGAGAGAAGGTCCTTGAAGGTTTTCTTTAATCGTTGCATGCGCTTCAGTCAGACTGTACATTTGTAATACAGTAACAGAAAGTTTCATTTTTCTTTGATATTTGATTCCTTCTGTATGAAATAAATAAACACAATTGTTATGAAACTCTCTGGATTCTATAAAGCTGCGGGGATATATGTGATTCTTTTTAATTGTTTTTATTATTCAGGGTGAAAAATGTGATTTTTTTTTGTCAAGTCTCTTAGCTTCAAAACAGTTTTTAAAGAGGCTTCATAACCTCAGATCCCCTTTCAAAATTCCATTTTATTTAGTTCCGCCCATTGTTTTCTCGTTTAGGGCACACGCAGTTTCATTGAGCGCCGCCTTTCCTTGTTGATCTGGTTTATCATATTTTTAATTTGGGACCATACGCCGCTTTTAATGGAATGGCACTACTGTGTCACATTGAAGGTTCCATGATAATCGCCGTATGAACACATCTGCATATGTTTCTAAATTAAAAATTTCGCCATTTTCGTGTTTAAATGTTGAATTCTGTTTGAGCCGGTGCTAGGGGTCGTGGACAGTAACTTGCATTTTCCAGAACCGTCCATGAACAGGCTCAATCATACCGAGTCTGCAACATTTTCAATATTTTCAATTTTGCCGTGTTGGGCTTCCTTTAGAGGTTCTGTTTTTCTCTATTTTAAAGAGTGAAATGCTGATTTTTTCAGTATTTGCTGCAAAAACGCATTGAATTTAACACGGTTGCTATTCATTATGATAAAGAGAAACCTTTCAACTTCTTCTTCATTTTTGTGTCCAAACATTGATCATCATCAGTTCTTGATTTGTCTCACAAGAAGTCTGCAATCGACTTTACAATATTGAAATAATAAAAAGGTTTGCATCATATTATCATCGCGTTTTCCTTCTTTTATATCAGGATATTTTATTACAGCTCCGATTTGTTCCTCTGTTTATTTACTGTGATTTACGCATTTATACATGAATTTGTCGGTTGAAGTTTAAAAGCATATTTTAATGAATGTTCGCAAATACTATAAGCAATTTAGATTTTTGAAAGTGCCCTCGGAAGTGTCTTGTTTGGTATTTGATCTTTAAATAAACATTTCCTCAATAAATTTGTTAGATTTAGAAAAAAGGTGGATTTTATATCTTGAATGCACTTATCATTGGCTGTTTTATACAGCATACTAGAGTATATTCTTTAATTAATGGTAAATCATAAACTGGTATTACAATGCAGAAAAACAATTTAGACCTAATCAAGGTACATCACTCATGATTTTCAATTTGCTCAAATTTCAGCTGTGGTAGCCTCCCCTTATATACCTTTATATTATAGTTACCCATACACGTCTATTGTTGGTCCGCTCTCTATCTCTTGAACTTGAAACTACTTTGCAGAAATGTTGTCCATGCTCAGTCAATATTAATGTGCTGAGCCAAGGTTTCGACTTCCTCAGATCAAGGTCGAGATTACATTAACATTTATTGTCATTGTCTTAAATGTTATAAAATACTTATTAAATTCGTATGAGAAAAGAAATCCAATTAGGGATTAGATCACAGGGGGCCCACACAGTGTTTGGATGGTATATACTGCTTGATAGTGACCGTAAAATACTATTTTAGTCATAACCTTATAATATGTATATAAATATAGACAATGCTTCGGCGAATACATGTTGGAAATTCTGGTCATGGTGTATGGAAACCTTTCATTGGTTGTCGTTATACACAACGTTCCTACAGAACCAATGAAAGGTCTCGATACACCGGCTGGTCACGTGACCGGGGTTTCCCCAAGATGTCTACGTCGAAGCAGATTTCTGCTCTGATTTGAATATTTCGTTCGAAACAGACTAATATAGAGCGCTTCACGACTATTTGCGCAGGTAGGTAATAGAAACTATGTTGTGTTATTGTTTGCATGCGTTTGTTTGTACCTACCCCTTTTAAAATTGATATTTTACCCGTGGAATTTGGTGTTGCGACATCTCGTACGACTAAGCAATTTTGTGACAGAAGTGAACGGTTTTGAATAAATTTCTTAAAATGGGCTAAAGGAATCAAAATAGAGTTAGTGTTTATCAATTGTGGATTATATAAGCTATGCAACGCAGTATAGTTTTTGGAATTTTTTTATTTAATTAGTGGAAATTCTCGCATGAATTTGAGGGTGATCGAAAATTCTCTATTTAGCGAGTAATGCCCCTTGTCTATATTTATATACATATTATAAGGTTATGACTAAAATCTTATTTTACGGTCACTATCAAGCAGTATATACCATCCAAACACTGTGTGGGCCCCCTGTGGATTAGATGAAACACATACATTTAATTTAAATTTTATCGTTAACGAAATTTTGTGTCTAGATATGGGCATATTTTGTACACATCCTTAATGTTATTATTTTCTTGTTATTAACAAATTTGTTAAACTGATTCACCAAATCCCACCACCTCTAACCCCAGATGATACAAATCATTTTGCTAAATGTTTCCTAGTATCAATCACTTATTTAATGAAAGAAACTAATTTTTGTGTCTTCATTTGTAATTTATCAAGGCCAACCATCCCCAATACAAATGCTAATACAGGATGTCCTTGTTTAGTGAAACAAACTAAAATGACAATTCTAACATCATGTATTGCAAACACTGAAATTCATAGGTTCATTCTAATAACACGTGGCACTTAGGCATTAATTCTTCCTTATTCATAATATACATTTAATATTAATTTTTAAGATAATTTGTCAACTCGATTGTTAGATATGGAACTGGGCTATTGGACGGACGGATGGATATGTCAATTTTACGGAATATCGGGCTTTTCTTTGATCTTTAGGTTTAAAGTTCTCCTCATAAACCAGTTAATATTTCCACGTTAATCTACTATGTGTGGGTTCATTGTGCAGTCTACACAATATAATGAACAGAAAGAAGTCCATAAACCGTTGCATGTTGGCCTGGACGAACGGCCGGACGGACAGACAGACAAAACCATTTCATATCTCTTCTGATTTTAACGACGGGAGATTATTACGCTATTTTTGAATAGTCCAAAATAGACGACAGACTGAGTTTAGTTTAATTGGTTACGTAAATAGAAAAGGCAACATCTTTACTGGATAATGTATTCTTTATTCCATATACACTCCGATACAACCTTTCCATAACAATATAATCTCAGCTATTCAACAAAAAATCAAGAACAGGACTGAACAGAACATTCATCAAAATTTGTGCTAAGTACATTTATTTATCTAACATACGCAGGAAATTTAATACGGGAGATGCAACACCTTTGTTCTAAAACATTTTTAAATGTAACTACGAATTTTGAATTTATCTATTAATTAAAGCATGCTTATTTGTTTTGCATTCTATTTATCAAACATTACTGTAAACATAACTATTTTATTGTGTACATTGTTGACAAATATATTTATTAAATCATATATTTTGTAAGATTGGATACTATGTACAAGTTTGAAAACATTATTATGTCATGTTCAATAACAAACCAAAGTACATGTACTAGTATAACGTGTAAAATAAAAAACTGCTTGTTTAAAACAACAAGCAAACTATCTATTGCTTTAGAAAGAAATAAGACTTAACATAGAACAAATTACTATAATAGAGTTATATGATAAGTTTAATTTAGATGTAAAACAGATCTACTAAAAATAACTAACAGAAAATACAACTTTAAAATGTGACATGAATGTTTTTCACAAAAAGTCATTGATGACTAACGCATCTTTTCTCATTTCACGACAGACAAGCATTTTCTGATCTTATGAAACGAAATTGTGTAATTTTACCAATCCTATGTTTAAATGTTGAATAGTGGTCAAGTCGGTGCTGGGGCTTGTAACATTTATTTACCACTATTGTCAATGAACAGGTCATCACAAGGCAAAATTTATGCAAGCCTACAACACATTTTAAAGTTCACGGTCTTTCACGTTCTTTTAGGTGTCCAGACATTGAACATTCTACAACAGCGCTTGAAATTCTGTATACTACCTTACTAAATAGTTACTTATTTCTTTAAAAAAGTTTCTTAACAATTTGTATTGATTATTACCCCATGTTATACCATTTTACGCAACCACATTGTATACGTATCCAACATAAGTCTGTTTATAAAATGAAGACCATAATTTACAATTTTACTACATTTTGAAATCATAACGAAATTTTAACAAAAGTCTCATGCATCAATGCTATTTTTGAAATATGAGTGTTGTCACGAGACTTTAAATCATACAATACTGTTTTCTGTAAACATATATTTTTATTTAAACACGTTTTTCAGCAACTAGTCAGACAAGGCAAAATTAACAGCATTAAAAAAACTTCTTTTCTACACTAAAATTCGTTTTATATATAAAAGATCTTCCGTGACGACATAAACATTATAAACAATGTGGCATACGAACCTTTTTGTAACTAATCAATAAGTTCTCAGCAGAAATATATCATATGTAAAACTGATGAATCTTGATTAGTATGGATTATCTCCCTTAGTAAAACCTTCCTAAAAGTGTTGCGAAACAAAAGATAATATCTCAAAGTGAGATGCATGTCATTGAGTAACTTTCAAACCAACATTAATATATGTAACTTTAAAAATGTCAAATTTAATCAACAGTTGTGCATAGTTTCTTGACGATTTAGGTATACAAATTACAGCTTTTCCGAAAATACCTGGTTATCGTACCCAGCCATTGCGGGTTTCTTTGGTTCAATGGTCGTTATAACAGGCTCCACGGTGGTTTTAACTGGTTCAAAAGTGGCTTTTACTGGTGTAGGTTTAGATACTTCGCTTACTTTTGTCATTGGTGGTACGTACGTTGCGTCGATACCATTGCTGTCATCCATTTCCATAGTTTTCCTAACTCTAACCTTGACCTTAGTCGTTCGAAGTTGAGGAGCAATGGCGGCTAGACAGAAGAAGTGAAGTAGAACAGATCCTACAAGCATACCGAGACAGAATGGAAAGCCGACGTAAGTATGATTTCTATGATCATCCATGTTATAGAGTTCTATCTGGTAGTAGATGTATACTATCTTGTTGCTGACAACTGCAATAACTATTCCCGCTAAAATAAGAATGACACTATTATACATATATATATTTTTTTTCTCTAAAAGTGAACTACAATGTCAATGTCACGACAAAACTATGTTCTTTTTATACATTCTGGACTTGAGTTGGTTGTATTTGCCACCCTCCCCCCACCCCCCAATCGTTTTTTGCGTTTTTTCCGAGTACAGTCTATGCTACTTTTCTTACAATTTATTTGTCAATAAAAGAAAATGCCACTGCATATTTGTATACTAATAGTTTCAAGGCATATACGTCTTTAACTTTTTAAAGTAAGATGCAACCTGCACGGTTTAGATTAAATGAATTTTAAAGTGCACTACTAATGAACATTTTTATTTTAAAGTGAATAAGTCTATAATTTAAGGTCGGTTATACCATTAATAATTACGTTAATTAGTACTGAGAATCATTCGTGAAAACAAACTACGAAAGAATAATATATGGAAGTTAAAGTGTTAAATATATGATCTGATAGGACATATCATAATAAAGTGTTCTAGAACGAAATATTAGTATTCATCATACATGTAAATATGTTCACACTGAATCACTTAAGAACTCTATCAATATTTCAATAATTTTATAAATGAGCTGCGTCATGACAAAACCAACATAATGTGTTTGCGACCAGCGTGGATCCAGACCAACCTGCACATCCGCGCAGTCTGATCAGGATCCATGCTGTTCGCTTACAAACCCTATAACAGGTAGACAAACTGATAGCGAACAGCATGGATCCTGATCAGACTGCGCGGATGCGCAGGCTGGTCTGGATCCATGCTGGTCGCAAACACATTATGGTGGTTTTGTCATGACGCGGCTCAAATTTTAGCCACTTACCGGAAGTAGCAGCCGTTGCTGCGGAAAGGAAAATTAATCGTTGGTAGGCTTTATCTTTGTTTATTCGCTGAATTATCTGGGAAATGGCCATCACTGTTGACAAACACACGGCAACCATCATCAAAACTTGTTGACATATCAGTGAATTGTAATCGTAATCTGTGAAATAAAGAATATAGTAATCTTTATAATTATCCTGCTATATTGCGTAACATTTCTATTAAGTTCCTGCAGTGAAAAAAAACAACAACAACAAAAGAACAAACAAACAAAATGCAATTATAACACTTTTAAAAGCTTCTATTTTTCATTGTTATTGATAGGTCAGCTAAAACTTAATTTCGTGTGATTTGCCTTTACACGCGAACATTGATGTAACAAAAAGTTTGACTACTTAAGTACAAAGTGTACTTTTTGACTGGCAAGTTTTTTTTGTAATCATTGGATATCTTATAAAATTGAATACAAATTCAAAAAGTTGATTTGTATGAATAATGAAATAAAGGTTCAAAATTGTAAGTTTATACCAGATCTGATTATAGTTTTTAAAGTCGTCTAAAATATTTCTACAAATGTGTATTGACGAATACGTTTTGTCTGTACGCCTTGAAACAATATGAGCCGCGTCATGACAAAACCAACATAGTGCGTTTGCGACCAGCATGGATCCAGACCAGCCTGCGCATCCGCGCAGTCTGATCAGGATCCATGCTGTTCGCTTACCAATCCTATTACAAGTAGACAAACTGATAGCGAACAGCATGGATCCTGATCAGACTGCGCAGATGCGCAGGCTGGTCTGGATCCATGCTGGTCGCAAACGCATTATGTTGGTTTTGTCGTGACGCGGCTCATATATCATCAGAGAGTGACCAAAGATTATGTTACTTGCGGAATTACTGTTTAGTTATCCAGGACAATAAGTTAATGTTGATAGACCTTCGAGATAATTTATGACAAAAACATGTTTTAAAAATCGGCGTATAAAACCAGCATTAAAACAAACAAACAAACAAACAAGATCTAGACTTAACAACATATAATACACATATATCTTGCCGTTTGAGAACTTAATACTTTCGTAACAATATACGATGTTATATATAGATTTCAGGCAACAGCGACCAGAAACACTTAGCAAACAAAAAGTTTGTCAGCTAGTATGTCGTTTTTATCTTTATAATAAATTGTTTCGGATACGTTTGACTTCTTCTTTAGGTGAGTAAACTTTCCAAAAATTGTAAAAAGCATGATGTTCCATGAATTGTATACCACTTAAACCGCAACTTTTTACATGGAAAATCCGTACATCAAACCACTGCGTTTAATTAGCATACATACGTCACATAATACATGTATATGCAAATAAATACATATCATTTTCACACGGAATAATAATTATACGTGTATTTTAAAAAATAAATTACAATATTTTGATAAATAGACGTGTGAATAATTATATTTTATTTATATACGGTGCTTTATTTGAATATAATACGTTGCATTTCCTCTGATGTAATATATTTTAAGTTATTTATGCATTGTTTGCCTCTTTTTAAACTTATGACTGATTGATTGTTATGCACCATGAACTTTTGTCATAAAATAACACGCCTTTCCGCAGTTCGTATCCATTTGCGTGAACTCGTATATTAAATAATAAACATCTTTTTAACTCGATGCATATTAGGTATGTAGAGTTCTATGTATATTGAATACATGTATAACATAGGCCACTATCGGTTATTTTCGGAACGTTATTTGTTTCAAAATCATGCTCATTAAATAATTTGCATCACTCATCCTTTATCGCTATGTACTATAAATGGTTCAAAATTATTGAATACCGTAGATTGTGTAAAAATAACGTTCCGAAAATGACCTATTTGTTACGATATTGGCCGCTGTTAGATTTTTTTGCAGTGTAAGACTACCTTAACTGGAAAAATGTAAAACATGTGTAAATAAAGACAGAAAATATAATTATATAAAAAAGTTCAACAAAACAACAACCTTTGATTGAAACTTTTCTATAGTCTACTAGTATGATTCACCTTGTTAGAAGTACTAGGCGCCTGTCAAATGCACAGTCAGTTTTTTGACAGTTCGTATGGTATTAACCGTCTTGTTTTCACCATATGATTTTACGAGCTACTGTTGAAACATTTGAAACAGCGAACCAGAGTCATATATCAGAATTTTACAGGAATAAATTATCAGAATTTTCTTCCTACGCGAATAGGACACCATACAGTTGACACGATTTATTATCTTCTTAAATTGTTCGTGAACTTTTATATTATCATGAATTTAAATAGGAAATTTCGTGTTAAATAAGCTTAATATTGGTTCATGAACCATTTTCACGTAATTAACGTATAATATACATGTTACTTTACTAAACGTTCCCATGCACTATCTTGATTTGTCAAAAAATGCTCGCCAAATTTCCGAAGGCATAGGTTGGAGATTTAAGACTAAATGTATCATTTAATGAAAACTTAAGGCATGTTTATATCATTCGGAACTTTTACAATTTGCCACTTTATCAAGCAATGTGTTTTATAGACTGTAAAAACTGTACTGTAACAGTTATTTCTGCATACGAAAGTGATAAATGACATATACACCACTAACAGTTACGGTAACTTGAATGATGACTGTTTAATTGCGATATTGCGAAATCTGCGTTTTATGTTATAGCATGATAAAAATATATAAACTTGATCATATGAGGAAACTGCTTGTCCATACCCCGTTAAATATCCAAAATGGACTGGTCCATGTTTTAATATACTGAGTAGCGAATAGCGCAGACCACGATCAAACGGCTCGGATGTGCTGGCAGATCATGGCCAGCACTTGTCGCATTCGAAAATTCAGTCGTTGCAAGATGGTTAAGGGTTAAAGTACAGATTAGCAAACAGAATTCATCACATTTGTAAAATGAAAACTTTCTTAAGCTTAATGAAACAGGGCACAGTTTGCTCATAGCTTAGATGTAGCATGCACGTTGTCGTCAATGTAAAGTGGTTGTACAATCTTCTAATCATCAACAATGATAATATTGAATTACAAAGTTATGAAATTGTGGACTCATACAAATAATTCACTATTTTCCATTTTCAAATTTTTATACATTGATAGTCGCATGTCACTTAGAAATTCAAGATTTATATATCACATGATATATTCTCCAGTGGATTATGTTTAAGTACAGCAAGTTTATAAAAGTATTTTTGATACATGTGTCAAATCAACTCTATTGTTCTCTCTATTGTTCTTTTTAGCCACACAAAAGAAAATAGCCACATAAAAGCGTTACGGAATGAAAGACATCAAAGAGAAAGAACAGTTACCTATTGTCCCTCTAGCCACATTATTACTGTCCATTGAGAGCGGACAGACGGAAGGACAGACGGACGGACGGACGGAGCCTATTTCTATTTCCTTTTTTCTTCGAAAAGGCGGGTGGCAATAATGTGTTTTGTATAGCAATATGGTTGTTTTATATGCAACCATATGCAATATCAAGCTTTTTGTTTACGATGAAGTAATTATTAGATGTTTAAAAGGATACAAAAGTGATGAACATTACGCGAATAGGCGTAAACAATTTATTTTACATGAAACCATAACATTTTTATTTTCAAAACAAAAGTTTCATTTATTTCTGGGCACAACAATTGCTATCATTGTAAAACAACAAGATGTATTTAACGAGCCGTCAGTTTTAATGATAATGTTATATATTTACATGTCATATTTTCTTGAGGCAGACAAGTAATATTTTTACAGGATATATTATATAATATTTTCCGTATTTTACAAGTTCAAGGTTGTAAGAATATGAAATGGTAAATTACATTCATGATGTCAATGGCCTTGAAAAGGGATGACGAACTGACAATTTGAAACTTGTCATAATAATTTTGACAATTTTAAAAATAAAAGATGAAGTGTATCACATTTTCTTTGCTTATTAGCTGTATTCGCAACACACATCTCGATAGTGCACTTAGACAGATTTTTATCAGTATATTGGATCAACCCTTGTCTGAATACTTTAATAACGACTTCAAAGCTTAAACAATTGTAGCAAGAAGTACTATTTATACAGCTCTGAATAAGGTGGTATTTATTATTTAAATTGGATTAAATGTATCAATAATGAAAAGAACCCGTTATGCTTTGAAACATACAACTTTGTGTAAAGTAGTATTATCTTATTATATAAACGAGATAAACCAATGTATCTTCACTAAAGCAAGGCAACTAGTGATTAATATATCTGAACTATGTCTACCCCACTAATAACAACAATTATGTTACTGTGAACATAAGCAGGTTTTAACAACTTTTATCTGTATTTATTTATAAAACAGTGTACAACAAGTTGTATCACAAGGTTTCTGAAGAGTTTGGTAATGGTTAAAACCGTATTACATATGTTCAGATTTAGGAAGGAAACATAACCTCTCAATTTTCCTAGATAAACAAAAAAATACTATACAATAACTTTAAAGAATTGTCGGAAAGACAACACTCACAAAAAAGTGAAAATTAAACAAATATATTTATATAGGGACTATATATGTATAGCATTGTTTCAGAACATGTAATGTTTTCGAATTTATAGAAAACTTCATTACAGAAGGCCTTTATCCCGATTAATTAAAATAAACATTACAACATTTCGAGCATACTACAAATTAACAACAGTTTTATGTATATTTTACAAGCAGTTTAAACAATCCATAAAAAGCATATTATAATTCTTTACAGAAAATTAACATGCACAAAACAGTTTTACGTAAAATACAGTTACATAATTAATTGCTCTTTTTGTATTAATGTTTTCGTACTCATTAAATAACCACAATTTGTTCATATTACACACCGTTTTGCAGTAACAATTTCATATGTTTAAAAACTAGTTTAAATAGACCTACCAAGTGATAATAATGTCTCACGTGCGACCTTGGCATTTAAAAGTCGCTCTCTTCTTCTAATGTAGCAATCGTTAAACGTTTCCACTTTGCATTTACTTTCATCTAGAATTGTTTTACATGTTCTTTTATAGAACAAACTCTGGTGCTCCTCTATGTTTCCTTTGATATAAATAATCCAGCCTGGCGCTGCTATTGATGCTATTTGTAGAAGGCACGCTAAAACACCCAAAGTTGTAGTTAGTTTGCGTAAGAATGCGTGACCCATTCTTTATCAGACAATTTAATCTCAATTTTATATTAAAATTATTTTCGTTTAAGGTTTTTCAATCTCGTACGTCAAGAGTTCCTCTTTTTATTCACGAAATACTTTTTTAAAAGAGCAAACACTATATCCCAAACTTTATGATTTGTAAATCCAGTATGCTCTCATGAAGTTCTTAAGTAAATCTGAAGTATGGACGCTTTAAGCGTAATCTTCAAAATTTCCTTGCCTCAGGGCGTTAAATAAATGAATAAAGAGAAACGATTAAAATTTTAGAATGCACATCGTAAGACAACATATGCAAATTAGTTTTTATTTTGTGGCAGATTATGAAATACGTAGCAAAATCATGAAAGTATGAAGTTTGACCTGACAAGGTGCATGACTGTAACTTGTTCGCTTGACCTGATCAGGAATTAATATGTTTAGTTTGTCATCATAATTCTGTACACACGCTAAAGATTTAATTAACTATATTTCGAAATAGCATTTGAGAATGTAAAAAGTGATAATCTAAAACTTCCTTATATTTTGTTTCTTCATTTTTCGTTTACTTGTCACTGTGTATAGGCATAATAATTTAAAAGTGGAATCCCTAAAGAAAGCTAAAAATGACAAATTGAAAATACTGCAAGCTCGGGATGATTGAGCATGTTCATGATGGGTAATGAAAGTGCAAGATACCGTTCACGCCCCCCTGGCACCGGTTACAACGTAATTTACAGAAATGGCTTTTGAACTTATACCTAGCTTTATGCCAAGTGCAAATGACTTACTACATCAAAGTATTAGAATTGTGCAAATTGAAAATATCTTTGCTTGATTTATTCTAAATAAGTAAATTACGATTAGCTTTAATGCGAAGAGATAAATTGATCAGTGCAACGTGCGATTAATTTAAGAAATAATATATTCCAAACAGTGATTTTATCATTCAATAACATCACTGTTTGGAGTCCGGATGCGAGGAATTATATCACGAGGGCGTAGCCCGAGTGATATAATGATGCGCATCCGAACGACAAACAGTGATGTTATCAAGCGATAAAATCACCGATTTGGATATATTATTTCGATTCTAACACGACATCAACAAAATAAATGCTGCCGTACATGATATTAAGCTAAATTGCGCCTGCTTTGTTTCCGTACTTATTGTCAGCGCGTCACATTTTTAGTGGCTATGTCACGTGTACAATTATTACGTCACTTGTCTAAATATAGAACGTCAAACAGTGATTTTATAGCATAATAACACACACTTTCGGTTCTTCTTTGTTCAATAGAGAAAAATGCGGGTCGTGTTAGAATTATTTATAAATTATTAAAATGTAACGGAAATATAATCTTAAGTTAAGTATATTTAATTACTCAAATATGTGAATGTACTAAGGTCACATAATTCGAACAGTAAATTAAATCGTTCCTTTCCATATAGTATCTTATTATATTTATTAAGAAAGGATCTAACCATCTGAAATGCAACCAATCATTTCCAATGAATCCTAAAAAGTGATCGAGCTAAAAATAATACAAAGTATGACAAAATCGTGAAGAAATAAAATATGTTGATGAGTTATGATAAATGAGTTCAAAAACTATGAGTTAGAAATTATATATATTTCTTTACATTAAGGAATATTACGGATTTAAAACTCTTTGAACAGACATGAAACAATTTTGTTGGACGTAAACATGTATGAAGTTAATTATGCTTTGAATTAAATATTTCAACTCGTACAGTATCAGTCATCATAAATTTGTGTTTACGTTCATTGAAACGTAGTTTTAATCTTTTATAGTTGTTAATATGACATTTAGATATTATATCTCACGATTTACTCCATGGCTGCAATACTATATGCATGTTTAGTTTTCTAATGCAATCCATCAACGTGTTACTTGTGTCGTTGATTTTGTATTATCTTTCTTCAATGTTGTGCTTATATATTCATGGAACGGATAACAACAATAAAAAAATATAAGTCCTCTTTTTAAAAAGTCACTTAATTGTCTCCATTGAAGACACTTTATAAATGTTCGTACTTAATTAAGTGCAAAAACGTTAATGCACTCCGATCACGTTAGACTGGCGTTGCTATGACGGCATTTTATTGCGTGTTTCCTCCAAAACGATAAAAAGGCGTGTTCATTAACAAATAGCCAAAGTTATCATTTTATTAAAAATCGTCAAAACTATTCGAAAAGAAATGATATAGCTTTTCTGTCTAATTTGTTGAAACAACTCTCGAGTCAATACTAAATGTTGATTAAATCTTGCGCTCCTTTTTCGTAACAATTGAATGTATTTATACATTTCCATACTTTTCTTTTTGATATAATTTAACAAACCATTTTGTTGGTTGCATTTTAGAATTATAATTAAGACTTATAATTAATAATTCATACCTTAATACAATTACATAATTCTATTTCGAAGATAATATCCCTTGAGACTCCGGTAATTAATTAGAAAGGAATTCATCATTAAATTTTTATTAACTTAACTGTGTAATTAAATTCAATGTAGATAAACAACCTTCTCCCTGTCACAGATTGGTTTATTTTTGTTTCATTGTTTCATTTAATTAATCACTTTTGCTATAACAGTTGAAAAGTACAAATCGTCGCCTTGGTATACTTTTGAGCAAACACATTTTTAGAAAAGCGCCAAATCAAATGCATAAGTTGCCATTGGTCGCAAAAACAACAACAACATTAAAGGAAACGAAAAAAAATACGAATAGTGCAGACTGTGCAAAGTGTTGATATGTAATAAATGAAGCATACATTGTTTGATCAATTCGTTATAATTTAATTTAAGATTTATAGTTAGAGATAGCTAAATTTTGTTTAATGTTGCTCACTGTTTTATTAAGTAAGTAACTGTATTAATACTGGGGATATCACAGTCTGATACAAACATGGCAGACACACGTTGGAACATGTTTATATTTTATAGATCCAAAGTTACTGACATGTCTAACACTCAAGTATGTAATAACTCGTTTTTCAAGTAAAGAAAGAAAAATGTCACATGACTTATTGTCAAATGGATGAATGAGTTAACTCCAGGACACGCCACAGTATAAAACTCGCCAAACACAAAGATAGCGCAAAATTTTATCGAAAATATTTGTTGTTATGAAAAGGTCACTAGGAAATAGCTCTCTCTCTGACATGAATAAAACGATATGTAAAATCACATTATTTTCAAAATGGTATTTATCTCACTATACGATGAAGTTGACGAAATGTGCCATGCTATTTATTTATGTATTCATACCCATCACTACTGGAATACACTGACCTCGAGTTTTTTAAAGTTAAAGAAAAAAATATGTTTTGTCTACATATAATTATAGAGTTGTAATTTGGTTAGATATGGGCTATATTTCCTCATAAATGAAATCGAGACAATTGTCTGTGTTAAAAGAATGTAAAATGTCTCATTTTAAACCACTTAAAGGTTGAGGTGAATGGACGGATGAATAACATAGTTTTGCATCTGAAATCCATGAAATTATATAATTGAAAAACACAGACTAGTTAAAGTTGAAATTTGCACATGCATTTAAAGAATCTGTATGTTTACGATTTTACTTTAGAAAAATCAATTATTCTAGTAAGGTTTTAAAACAATTAAGCCTTCCTTTTCAGTGTAAACCGTTTAATTATTCAATCATATTAACTTAGTGCAGCGCAGTAATACAACACTTTAGTGATTCAAAAGAAGTTCAGGGTGTTCCTTTTCGGGCAGTAATTCTATTTATGTGCCGTAATGGCGCATAGCTGATGACAGACAATCAAATAAAAACCTCTGTTTAATTCCAGAATTAATTACATTTGAAAAAGTGACATGGGTTTAAATGAACCGCGTTGCTTAGATAGTCTTATTATTGCAGATTAAAACATGAATATGTTCGTCCATGTAAAATGATTGATGAGTAAATGCTCGCCTAAATATGATGATAATGCTTTATCACTGTCTGCCAATACTTTATTGCCTTAAAAACTATTAAATTGTGATACTTAATGTGCAAAATATTCCTAAAAACACTAAATAGTTTCACACAAACAAACAAGTACATGTATTACCAATTATTGTTGCACTGTGCTTATTATGTTTTTAGCAAGGTACAAGTTTAATTTAAGAACCAAAACAGTTAATGTAAAACCAGTTTTGTGATGAATCATTTTATTGCATTATAGTTTAAAACAAATACATGTATATATGTATATAAGCTGTTCAAAAACACATATGTTCACATGTGTATTTATTCACATTTTAAAGAAATTACTAAATTAAAGTTGAAGGAGTATCCAAGCTGTGAAAGTAAACCTTTCAGGGATCGTTTTATGAAGTAATACCTGAAGTTATAACTTAGAGAATATTGTACTAATATACTGATAAATGAATTGTTGAAGTCCATATCTGAAATAAACTTTGAGAATGATTTAGTTTTACTAAGCTCAAAATGAACATTAAGAAAAGAGATAGAATTATTTAACTCTATTGATCGAACGATACAGATATGAAACAAAACAACTGTGTGTTTAAATAATGTGTTTCTAACATTAATTTACCTTATCGATTTATCATGGTTAACATCTCAAAAAGTATTAGGCATACAAATACTAGAAACATTTAAATGGCTGCAAATACTATACGCAAAGACTAAAACAAAATATTTATCGTCTACACCCTCAACACAAAAAGATATATTTTCTACTAGGCACAACAATATTATTGTTTTCGTTGTAAGACAACATCATTTACTAAACGAGCTGTCACGGCTAATCCAACATTATATCTTCATGTCAAATTCTCTTGAAGCAAACGAACGATTTCGTTACAGGACACACAATATTTAGTCTTTACAAGTTGAAGGTTGTTAGAATGTTGAATAACATTTGTTTACAACGTGTAAAAATTTGAAAGCATAATTATAAAACAAAATCAGATAGATCGTCGCAACTTGAAGACCATTGTGACTGTCTTAATTGAGGGATTGTTTTTATTTATTGGTTAACCTGTATTTCATGATGGTAATCTTGCTTTGAAAGTTGTAACACCCGAGGTTAGCCAAAATCATCTTTCCCGATTCGGCGCCATATGACCTATACTGTGCTGGTGCCCCGTAAAACCAACCAGCCTATCAAACAAACAAACAAGTAAGATGCAATCAACCCCGTGTATTACCAGCTTATACTGTGTAACACTGATGTGATCTTTCTCGCTGTCCAC